AGACATATGATTTTGGCACGTTTCCCGTACTAACATGTAATGCATGATTAGCTTTCTATTTTGCTTTAATCAGGCCTTTTCGTGCATTTAAGATAAGGCGCCAACAATCTGGACATTGTCTATCGTCCCGATTTTACATCTTAAACAAGCTTTGCAGATCAAAGCTGTTCTTGTCTTTGTAAGATAGTATTTCATTTTAACCACGAAAAGAACAAATTTATACTCCGTTATTTGTCGAGATGTGTGCTTTACTTGTTTAAACTTATGTTTATATGCCAACATTACGACACTTACCCATTGAAAGTATTATGAACACTACATTGTAGACTTACAAAATATACAAGGTAATGTTCATAATACTTTCAGTAACGCAGGGATTCTCGGCAAATCACAGTACTGTTTTTAGATGGATACACACAATGATATACAACATATAGCGCCATGTATTATTACAAATATGATAAAATAAGATGTCTGCATCCGTACCATTAAACCAAATGTTATTTATTTCGACTTTTCATATTCGCAATTAGACCTATATCCGCTACCGCGCACCACAATTTTGGATGAAGTTTTTGTGTGCTTTGTATATGCAAAGTAACTCAAGAAAAAGCATGATAGGTCTCTAGATGTTACGCAAGATTTAGTTATCAGTGAATACATATGCAATATATATGGTCAAACCATATGTGCACACGTTGATGTAAGGTTATTATAATAAAAATTTTCCCAAACGGTCATTTGTTGGAAAGCTCGGTTCATACATGCATTTGTAGCTACGTTTCAACTTGTACCGCTTAATTTGCATGAAAGTGAAGCAACATTTTGTCACGTTGTGATTTATTTATGTACTGTTTGTTTGACAAAGTTTGGTCGTCGATATTCTTTCGCCATTCTCGTATAAGATTCCATGACCGCGCCGTAGAAAATCTAAACAGCACACTCAACATCCTGCTGCTGGAATACTTTACCTCATACTCTAATGTAGCAGTAGTAGTGAAAATAGTATTTTGTTGCCATCACCAAAATTGTTTTTTCGGTCGAGCTTCTCAGACGATCGGAACGGCGATGTTTAAATTTTGAACTAATTATGTTTCTTTTTCTTACTAACATTTGATGACAGAAAAAGGCCTTGCATTAAAATTATCAATGTGCCTTTAATTTGTAAAACTCCATAATTGAGCGAAAGGTAGACCGGTTGGTGCCAGATCAACTGCCTTTTTATAAGTGAGGTTTGTTTTCAAGTTTTGGATGAAGCCACGATATAAAGCCGTAAATCCATCCAATTGACCATCGAATTAAGCCTCCGTTGTACAAAGTACAGGCTGTGATCGTGTGAGATAATATTGTCTGGTATAGGATGATAAAAGATAATAGGTCAATTCAGGAACGGAGGAAGGCGGTTACATCTGAGCTTCGCCTCTATAGGGATATGAAATATTGCGTGCTGTTCATATTGTTTAAATTTATTTGCTACCCATATATTTACATTGATGAAATGTGTATACAAGACAGACAAGGTTCAGACCCCCATGCTAACTTCTAGTTCGTCCAAATGTCATAATTACTCGTAGTTCGTTGCAAACAAATTGTTTATATCTGTTAGCTTTTCATTTGTTCTTGATAGTACAGATGTATATGCCTTGACGCACAATGACATATATTTCGTAGCTTAGCCTTTCCTGGCTACAAGACAACTTGCCTTGCACTTTGCACTTTTCCGACTGAGTTTTCATGCCTGTGGCCGCAGCTAATCTGCAAACGGACAACTTCCTTTGTCTACCCGTCTTGTTCTGATATTCGTCTTTTCCCTTGTTTCAAACAGGTGTAGCCAAGGTAAACGCACACGAAATGTTCCAACAACTAAAAGTTAGGTAAAACGTCACAATACACAGTACTTTTCTAGCCAATCGTATGCATACAGTTACGTATAAACGAAAATGAGAGTGTGTCGATATGGTATACGGAATGGGTTGCAATGAATAAGATATGTGTGAAGATACCAATGCCTAAGTAGATTGCGATGATCGCAGTTTTGCATGCATAACTCGAACCTGCCATTTCTTTCTGGCTTTTAATGAATTAGTCGTGCTAGCTAGGATGCGTTTTGCCATCGCGAGACAAGTGTGCGAAACACAGAGGAATATCGATTGAAACGCTAATGTAGAAATTATATTGAAGGGTTGTATTGCCTTTCGCAAGTGTAGGGTCTCACAAGTCTGTAATCGTTGTTCTAAAGGTCAACGCACATTCTAGTCGCAACAATTGATGATTTGGTCAACAAGAACTTTACGACTATGGCGGTTGTATTGAATTAACTTTGGGAGTTCTTAACTGTACGCAGCATGATCTTACATCGACTAGCCAGTTGTAGCGCTGACGGGCAGAGATAAACGATGTTGTTTGAAGAAGTGATACCGTCACAAATTGAAAGGAACGCTGGACTTGTAGGACTGATGAGGTCCTAACGTACAAAATGTCGGATTTGCCAGCTCCGATGGTAACCTCCATCATACGCTTATGTTGCTAAATCGCTTATAATGTTAGTGTGAAACACCTACGCAATTCATATTGAGTGCTTCTAGTTGACTTGTGGTCAACCCATAGACGCACTATAGTAATGCTGAGCGTCCCTTCGACTATTTTTAGTACGAGCATTGTTCGTTCATCCATTATGAGAAGTGCCTGGGATGGTGATGATACAATTATATTACTAGTACAAGTGCCTCGATGCATACATCATTCAAGGGTATTGTAGCAAATCTAGGTTTTGTTGAAGCATTCCACTCGAAAGGGTTACGTATCACCACGAAACCAAATTCGTTTCGATTCTTATTGGAGATCTGATATGTACATCCGGTAGTGTCATAGGCTACAAAGAGTTCGTTCGCAGTCAGCCTGCTGATCAGAAGGACACCAGTTTGTCACTCGCTACGTAGCCGCCAACTTGTACAACCACTTTCATCTTCGCATTGCATTAACTTATATCATCACTACCACCCCGTCTTCGAATGAGTTTAGCCCCCTTTGTAATCTCGAGAAAAAGGTTGGTCATTACAGCTCCGTTATGTATCTGATAGCCTGATTCGACCTACGCTTCTCTCGCTGTAATGCATTTTCTCGGCTTCTTGGGAATGCTGTTCGCTAGGTAATAGAAACATATCGCGTTCGACGTCCACCTTTTTACACTTTCAACGACATATTCATCGATATCCCGTTACAATGTTTGTCGCCGGAACCCTTAATCGTAACTTTGAGTCAGAACGTGTATGACATGACCGCAGTCTTCAACAAAAACCGTGTAGTATTACCATTCATGACGCCAAACCTGAGTCACCTTGCGACTGGTTGATGGTGTAGGTTGAAGTAAGCTACATGTTGGAATCCATTGAGATAGCATGATCATTCTGATTAGAGACATGGGTACTGCACGACCATGTGCAAATGGGACCCTGATCAGTTAAGATGTACCTTGACTGGTCACGGGTCACCGCAGCTATCTGTGGCACTATATTAAGTACCGTTGGGCAATTACATCACTAGGTTATTGCAACGCGCCGTCCTCGTCATGGGTGTTTCAGCGATATCGCTCACTCTGTAAGACACATTAATGATAAAAATCAGATATTTGAGCTGCGATTGCGCGTAATGACTTCGAAAGAGGGCATGCTAATGAATAATGGGGCGACCGCGCACAAGACGTCTTACGCTATCTAAGGAAGCACTCATCATGCAATTGAAAGGATACCTGCTTTCCTCATCGTCCACCAATAACCGTTTAACATTGTCCTAGGACTTGCGGAAGCTCAGCAGATATTACCACCAATTCAGAAATTGCTTTCTTGTGGTACGTAGAGCAAATGCATTCGTCCCGACGCGTGGAACCCTACAGTCGCTCTTGTGGACAGCATTGGCTTCAAGGCGGTATGTGCCTCGGGCCTCTGCGAAACATTGCATGTAAGCAGCTCGAATCCAGTTTCGCCTTCTGTTGGAATCGCAGGAGCTGTAGAGAAATGTCACTATCTATCTGATTTCAGTAACCAGTGCACTAAACAAGGCGATGGTCAAAGGCTCCAGTAACACCTCCAGGCTACGCATCTGAGGTCTGTCGTTCATCAGATTGACGGTATGTTGTTACAAGCTTATTTTAATCGAAGATTTACCTCGGCATGCGGTTTCCAACCGAATAAATCGTTACACAAAAGCCAGCCATAGTATGCTGTGCAGACCTCGCTCGCACAGAATTACTTCGCGTTGTTAAGTTGTTGACCTAGCCGCTTGCCTGCTTTCCGACCTCAAGCAGCTGTCATAGTTACTGAACATGTAAGCTTTCGGTGGCCAATACGTGGACGAGAGGACAATCATATCGAGCCAATTTGTATGACGCGACAAAAAAAGGGAAACGGAACAGTCACGTCAGACTTGTCTCTCAGCAAGGCACTCACACGCATGAATACGACTTATATCGATAAACGCGACATAGTTGTGTGCAAGTCGTCAAAAGTCAGTGCCTGCGTGAGGCCAGAAGTGAAAGCACATTGTCGTGTGCTTTTAGATACACGTGCACAGCTAGGTTGGAACAATCTTGACATGAAATTGCAGGTCTCGGATGCACGATATGGTAAAGACGTCCTAAATGTACTTCAGGTGAGCTTCTCTAGCGTTATCAGAGAGCAGCACATTCATCCAGGTGAGCTCGTGCAACATTGTTTGGTCTATTTCTACAAGAGCGAGTGACAAACGAAATGTGGCGACCTCCAGCTGTTGCATCCCAGTCGTTCTGTTGCAACGGGAGCTTTGCCAAGGTCGAGATGATAATGACCACGGTAAAGGTTTAGTTTTGGTCGACGATTGACGAAGAATGTGAGGGTGGAGCACTCGTTGGGATAATGGCCAAGGCGTCAAAAGCAGTTCAACAGCCAAAGTATATTATCATAGCTTCAAAGGCAAAGCACACACCAACTCTTGTACATACAATGTGCTTGACATCGTTCTCGTGCTCAACTCGTACTGTCGGCTTCTGCAACTCCTTCAGCGCCTTCTTCGTCTTTGCTCAAATCAGCTGATGAGGTGGGAAGTGCAATAACTTGCACACTGCCATGTTCCTCGAGCATCCAAGGCGCAGGAGAACGCGAGCGAGCCGCCTTGAACTCCGGGTCGGACGTACTTGACTTGCGATGAACTGCTTCGGCTGTCTCGTCGGTTTTATCGGTATGTGCAACTTTACCTGAACCGCCTGAAGCGGCTGCAGTCGCATGGCTAGGTAACGAAAGCCCATTCAAAGCACCCATTGCACTTAGCGCCTTCATTTTTTGGCGCGCGCGTTTCCACTTGGCGTGAACAGTGAGCGTTGCGTTGATGCGAAAGCCCTCCATAAACTCGTTAATGTTGATTTCGTTGTCGTGGCTAAAGTCCATCATGCGCATATAATCGATACCGTTGGTGCTAAACGGCTTGGCTCCGGGAGGCAAGTGTTCGTTCAGCAACTTAATGCCATTCTCCAACTCGTCCACAGAGATGGTGCCGTTGCCGTCACGGTCAAGCACACGAAAAAGAGCTTCTAGTCGTGAGCGATGACGATACAGCGAATTGAACGCGCTGCGCTGCTTCGTGCCTACAATGTCGGTGTTTCCGTCGTCATCTGTGCATATGACGGCTCCCGTAGTATTATAGCGGTCCAGAAAATCATTATACGGCACCAAACCTTCATCATCCAACACGGTCAATAGCGGCTGAAGAGCGTTCCAATCCAATGACAAATCCAACACTTCTTCCATAATGGCACCCCACGCCTCGACCGTGACCTTGCCAGCGTGCTCCTTGTCATAGTCCTCAAACTCCTGGACCAAATCGGACCGGTATTGCACGATGAGCGAGAAAAGCGCATCCAGGTTGGACACTGCCATATCGCGACTCTCCGCATTTGCCATGTACTGGAAAAACCCAGGTTTGCCCTTACCCGAAGGAATATGCATGAAGCAGCCCAAATTATTTGCCTTGCCGCAATAATTCGATGCCGAAAACAACGTAACGAGCATACCCTTTTCTTTAAACGGCCAGTCAAAGCCTTGTGGAACGCATTCATGCGACCGAACGACAAGCGCAAGTTTATTCTTCATCATGAACTTTTGCACAATGTCCGGACCGTACATCGTACCAGCGCCACGCTTGTTTTCTTCGTATCCCTTAGTTTCTTTCGGATCGCTCCAAAGCAAGTCTCGCATGAGCTGCATCTTTCGATACGCTTCGCGCTCTTTCCGGCACTTGGGCTTCTCACGATACCGCGTGAGATCGTAGCCAGACCTGTCTAGCGTATTAAAATCTTTGACCGACATATTGTCGCGGGGTACACCGCCGTGTACGACGAGGATGCGTTCGTCAATCAGTGTAGCAAGGGGCAGGTAACGAAAGCTCTCGCAGAAGAGGTCGTACACATATCGGTCGTACTTGACATCACATTCTTTCATGAATCCGAACACTTGAGTGATCGAGTTTTCTTCGTGGTTGCCGCGGTTTAACAAAACATAATCCGGGTACAGCAGCTTGAAAAGATACACGATGACAGCAATCTCCACGCTTCGGTCACCACGGTCTACAAAATCTCCGTTAAATACGTACGGGTTTGACTTGGACGGTAGGCCGTTCTCACGAAAGATCAGCAGCAAGTCATCCAGCTGCCCGTGCAGGTCACCAATGACTGTAATGTGCTTCGCAGGTGCAATAGTAAACTCCACCATGGTCGGACTTTGCCGAAGCAGTGTCGTCACTTCGGTAACCACGCGAATCACAACATTTCGCGGAATCTTTCGCCCGTTACGACACGAATCAATCAAGTTTTCCACATTCTGAAGTGTAATGACTCGGTCCAGCTCGTCTCCCTGCACGTACATGTTGGCAATGTCAATGTTGCCCGTTTCAGGCTGAAAGATTGGACAAACTTCCAGGTCCTCCTTCTCTTTCTCTCCGTCGAGACCAGGAATGTAGTTCACAAGGGCATGGAGGAAAAGCGACAGTTCCAACTATACATGAAGAAGAGGGAATTGCGAAAACGGTCATAAGCTACACCGACAAAATTAACCCATTTGACTACGTGCCCAACAAGGCACGAAACAGCATTCAACAAAAGATGCACAAGCCCACTTACGGCTTCAGCCTCTTCCCGGTTCTCAAGATCGTTAAAGAGCTTCCAATTGGAAATCACCTGGTCGCCAGTAGGCGTTGAGGCTGTTGACGAGCATGGAGACAAACCAAACTCCGACGTCTGTTCATGGCGGCTCAGAGGCACAGGCTGAGGAGTTTTCTGCACAAGCGGCTCTAGCACACCAGAGACGAGCAATGACAACAGCAACATAAGGTGCCGTTCAGCCGTAGCGCAACTTGCGCAAAGTCTCCGCAACTTACCAGCGTGCGAAGGTCGTTGCTGGCCGGACCTGCTCCTCCAGACGCCATACCGCATGTCAGTTTCGAGGCTATCCAGTCGACACAGAGCAACCGACAATTGAGGTGGTCTTACATGGCGCTAGGCTGGCGCATGGGGGTGGGTGCGAGACGCGTCGAGCCCGTGGAATGCCGATGCGCTTCCGTGCCCGGTTTGTTGCCCATATTAGACGGTCGGAAAACATGGAGCCAATCGAGTCGACATATCGGCCAATCACGACAGTTTGCTGCGTGGGAGCGAATCAGAGGGGGCACTGGAACTGCTCAGTCAGTCAGTCGACTGACTATTCGCTGTCGACAAAGTGGGGTCCCAAGTGTCGAAAGACGAGCGAGCGGCCGTTGATTATGGAAACGCAAAAAGTGATGGAAAACCGCCTTTTTACAATGACAAAGCACCGCGTGGGGTCTGGTCGGGTTGTACACCCTGGCGCGTGAACGGGCAGCTTTTCCTCTGCCAGCGACTTGTCTCGTTGCCTAGTCCGACAGCGTCTGAAAAGCCTGCTCTACCTCGTCGTCGAGACCACGGAAAAAAGCCTTGAGCTCGGCTTCTGGTTGCTTGGGCAGCTGGAACTTTGTCTGGATGATCTTCTGTAGCACGGGGTTCATCGACGTCTTGATCTGTGCCCACGTCACTTTGGCATCGGGTGGCGAGTCGGCAATGGTCTTTTGACTCAGGTTGTAGAACAAAATGATCGATCGCAGCATGCCCACGCTCTTGACTAATGGACACGTGTAGTCGTAGTCGGAAAACGCGTTCTGCTGCAGGAAATCCTCGCGAATGATCTTGGCCACCTCCATGATCACCTTCTGATCTTCCGACAGCGACTCCTTGCCGACCAGTTGCACGATTTCCGTTAAGTTGTCTTCTTTCTGCAGAATCTCTTGGCACTTGGTACGCAGTGTCGAGTACTCGGGGTCGATCTTGTTGAAAAACGGCTCAAGCACACGCATGTACTTTGTGTAGCTAATGAGCCAGTTCACGGACGGGAAATGCTTGCGCTGGGCCAGCTTCTTGTCCAAGCCCCAGAAAACCTGCACGATACTCAACGTCGCCGCTGTCACAGGATCAGAGAAGTCACCGCCTGGAGGTGACACGGCGCCCACGACGGTGACACTACCCTCACGCGTCGGGCTACCCAGACACGCCACTCGACCGGCACGCTCGTAAAAGGCAGCCAGGCGAGCACCTAGGTAGGCCGGATACCCGCTGTCAGCAGGCATTTCGCCCAGCCGACCCGAGATCTCACGCAGAGCCTCGGCCCAACGACTCGTCGAGTCTGCCATCATCGAGACATTCATGCCCTGGTCACGGAAGTACTCGGCCAATGTAATGCCAGTGTAGATCGACGCCTCGCGAGCAGCCACAGGCATGTTGCTCGTGTTAGCCACCAGCGTCGTACGCTTCATAATAGGCACTTCACGGTCGTTGATAGTCATCGTTAGCTCAGGGAAATCATTCAGCACTTCAGCCATCTCGTTACCACGCTCGCCGCAGCCCACATACACAATCGCATCCGAGTTCGAGTGCTTGGACAAAGCTTGCGAAATGACGGTCTTGCCGCAGCCAAAAGCACCCGGGACGGCACACGTTCCACCCAACACGGACGGAAACAAAGCATCAATTATGCGCTGCCCCGTCGTGAGAGCGACGTTACCAGCCAGCTTCTCCGCTACCGGGCGCGGCTTTCGCACTGGCCACATGTGAGCAAGTCCAAGCTTGTGCGTAACGCCAGTGGTGTCGTCGTGCACTTCGAGCACCGTATCTTTAAGCGTGAATTCTTCATGATTGTCCGTGTCAGCGCCATAGATCTTGACGACGGTGCCAAATACATTGGGGGGACACATGATCTTGTGCGAGTGCAAAATGTCATTTTCATGGACGAGACCAAAGATATCGCCGCCCGAAATTGGGTCGCCCTCCCGCACGTTCACGGGCTTGTAGCGCCACATCTTGTCGGCATCTAATGAAGCCACATCGACTCCACGAGGAATGTATACGTCCTTGGTGAGTTCACTGATTGCATGCAATGGACGCTGGATCCCGTCAAAGATATTGTCCACGATGCCCGGTCCGAGCTCCACTGACAGCGGCTGCTTGCGGCGCTCAACAGGGTCTCCGACTGTCAGTCCGGAAGTGTCTTCGTACACCTGAATGGACGCGTTGGTGTTCTCGAGCTTAATGATCTCTCCCACGAGCTTGTCATGGCCCACACGGACCTGAACGAAGAGAGCGATCGGTACTTAGTAAAGTGATAACAACAGTCAATAGGAATGGAGCGAGCATAGCGTACCAGCTCATACATGGCGGCCCCGTGCATGTTCTCGGCAATTACCACTTGGATCAAGAAGAATAGAGGACAATAGATACAAACACACATACAAATAAGTAGCAATAAGTATACTGAGAGTGAGAGAGAGAGAGCTGCGAGTAGAGAAGTAGGGGGAGAGGGGGCGACAGAACGTGCGCGTGCGTGGGCTATAGAGGGCACGTACAAGGACCCGACACTTTGTAGACATAGCCAAAGTCCGACTCTTTCTCATCGTCGCCAAACACGTGCGCCATGACGAGATCTTCTGTCGCGCGGATCTTTGAATCGCAATGTGTATACAACGAGCGACTCGCGGTATACAAGCAGCTCCTTCTCTGTTCACGGTGTCGGGATAGGGTGAACGCAACGTGATTCGTCAAAAAGCACGCTCCATCGAACGTTGCGTACGCCACACAACTTTTTTCAGCGCAGCGCTGCGCTCATTGGCTGAAACGTGCACTGTTATTGGTTGGCGTCGAGCAGAGCATGTCCTGCACGACTGCGACACGAGAGGAGCACGTGACGGCGTCTCTAGCGACCAGCGCGTCGATCACTGCAGCTGCTGCTGGTTCAGTAGAAGCTCCAGAAGCTTCCGCTTGCCACGACGCAGCATTTGCGTCTTCTTCGAGCGCTGTACCGATCAAGAAGAAGGTGTTGCACCTCGTCATTGACTCTGGTGCGATCATTAAAGGCGCAAATGTGACGGAGCTAGCAGAGGTACCGCTTCTTTTGGTCCTTTGACGTATACACGTGGAAGACAATGTGCTGCTTGGGCTGTACCGAGATGAGCTCATAGCTTTCGTTTCGATGTGTTTGTGCCGTGACAGAACTTTTGGACTGTGCCGGATGTGCTGGATGAAATCCGAGACAAGAAATCACGCGCCTTGTTGGAACGACTGCCATTCACTTTGCAGACTCGGGAGCCGTCAGCCGATGCGATGAAGGCGGTGATCCACTTCTCCCGCAAAACTGGCGACTTTTCGTACCTGTCGCTCACGGATCTGCGCGTTATGGCGTTGTCGTATCAACTCGAGGTCGAGGCTAATGGCTCGGATCATTTGCGTTCGAGTCCCGAGCGCTCACAGACAGTTATGCGCGATGCAAACGGCAAGATCGTTGGTGGTTCGCAGACTGCGATTCCGTGCAAGTATTTTGGCTCGGCCATCGGGTGCAAGTTTGGGTCCGCGTGCCGATTCACACATGACGAAGCAGCTGCACGTGACGAGGAGGGTGCGGAGGCACTTTTGGCGAAGAAGATTGATGTGCCGTGCCGTTTTTACAACACTACGGAAGGATGCAAGTACGGCGACGAGTGTTCGTTTTACCACGATCCAACAGCGCAAACTGAGCAGCCAATCGAAGATACAGATTCGACCGAGCTTATTGCTGAGCACGTTGTCGGTGAATCGATCCGCAATGCTGATGTCAAGTCGCGTATTATGGGCAGGTTCGCGGCGTCAAGTAATGCTGGTGCTGCCGAGGACGACGGCAAGAACTGGATCACTAGTGACAACTATGTCAAGTTCACAGCATCTCCGTTTGGTGATGGCAGAGGTCTCGAGGAAATCACGTCGCGGCTCTCGGTGGCGTGTATCACCACGGATTTTTCGATGCAGAATGTGATGCTTCAGATGGGGCTTCGGCTGTTATCGGCAGACGGCATGATTATCAAGCGCGTAAAGCAGTGGATTTTGCGTTGCATTGCTTGCTTCACGACTTCTACGGAGATGGAGCGTTTGTTCTGCCCCAAGTGTGGCAACAGCACAATGGAGCGCGTGTCATACAGTCTGGACCGCGATGGCCACATGACTTTTTACACACGCGCGAACCGCCCAACGAAACTCTCAGGCACCAAGTTCTCGCTACCCAAGCCCAGGGGTGGACGCAGCGGCGATTTGCTGCTACGTGAAGATCAGCTCTTGGTTGGCATATGGGGTCAACGGCAACGGCAACACAAGAAAGTGATGCAGAGCGCTTTTGGTGAGAACGTAGCACACGACCTTGGCGTGAAAGCCGAGAAGCAAACTGGTATTACTGTCGGCTATGGGCGCATGAACCCCAACGCACAGAAGGGTCGTGAACGTCGTGGTAAGAAGAAGCGCCATTAGGCTGTCGGTTAAGTGATCGTTCGACTATCCATCGGCTCCAGAAGGTGTAGATATGACTGACAACATGGCTGGAGTTTATCAGGTATACTCGTGATTCTTTGTGCTTGACATACGTCGCTTTGTCTACATTAGGGAGGGTACAAGGGTCCTGAGTTGCACAGTGCGCTTTCTTGCAAAGTCGGCCATCGCACGAGTTTGTGGCCGACATTTTGCTCTTGCCGTGATGATGACCCGAATTTATCGTCACTCGATTGTGCTGCATCAGGTGCGCGTGACGCCAGCCACGAAAAGCTGGCAGGTGAGGTACGTACCTCGGGAAAATGATCGGCGTGAGAAGGGTTGATGTATGATATGCATGCATCATCGTTCTGCTGCCAGAGAGGCCATTGAGGTAGTAGAAGAGCTGTGGATGACAACCGAACATAGTGCCTTGAACAGAAGGGACGAGGTGCTTGCTGAGGATGCATGATACACGCGAGCAAGCATCGTCGACAGGAACGCAGGACTGCTGGAAACCCTTGGCCGAAACTCGACTCAATCGGAACGGGATGGAAGTAGCGCGCATTCGGTGAACAATGCCACGGAAGTGAGACAGCCGAGCGCAGCAGAAGGCTATGGTCGACGTGTAGTCAAGCCGCAAAAGTCAGCACGGATAGGTGGGATGTTAGAAGCGATATCTGGGAATTGCCGCGGAACGCAGCCGACTTGTGAAGCAAACCACCTTGCGAAAGAGCCGCACGTTTTGGGTCTACATGGTGTCGAATAACTCGACACTGATGATGTTATAGGGGCACGTCGAGCGTATATTTGACGACATAGCGTTACTCAGTCCCAATCGACAATTTGCGTGTTTGTGTACGACCTGTAGCAGTCCATTCAATTGTCCCGACGTTCATAACCGTTTACGCAGACAGGAGACTCGGAAACATCAGATCGACGCAGCCGCTGAACTAGATGGTCTTCTTGTGCATCACGAATCCCGGTCAGCAGCTGGCGGTCCAAGCTGCAGGACGGTCCATAGCATCTCGTCCAAGCTGATTGTCTGTACGTAAATACTGCAAGGTCTTTAAATCGACCATGAGGCTGCAAGTGCCGCACAATCGAGCATCCTTGTCGATTGAACAAAAGGCAAATGCGGGTCATTCAAGTTCGATGACGTCCGCGTTTCTTGTGCTTGTAGTCGGCAAACCAGCAGCAATACCACTAGACAGCTTTGCCAAAGCAGCACTTCCAACTCGCTCGTTATCACTAGTGTCACTATCCGACACGGTCAAATCCACGACAGCAGAAGGTCCTGCAACTTGTGCGCCGGAGTCTGTAGTACGAATGCATCCGCTATCTTGAGTCTTCTCACATACTCCAAGATGACTTTCTTCTTGTCCGTTGACGCTATCCAACAGCTGTGTCTGCGACGTCGAAACAAGCGCCCGGATGTCACCCACGAGAAAGTGTCCGTCATCATCTCCGTCAATAGAGAAGACGACTGGAGCAAAGGTCGGAAAATCGATCGTTGGCCGGACCTTGTTTTCACCATCTCCTCTACACTCCTCTCGCCGCTTCTTGGTATCCAAACCACCAGTATCGCCTCGACGCTGAGCCTTCGTTCCCACAAGCGGATGTTCTGCATCACTACGTGCCGATCCAGTCGCCCTATTGTCGCCATCGGTCTTCGTACTCATCGAAAAGAAATCTTTCACACTCCGTGCCGCTCGTGCACCCCGGTCCTTCTTCTGTTGCTTTTCTTTGCGCGCAACTTCCCTTTCCTTTTTCTTCGCCTGCTTTGCCGTGAACTCTGCCGGTTCTTTAATCTTCCGGTAGCTTCCCCCGCACCGTTTTTGGTGATCAGCCCACCAGCGATCTGTCGGTCCAGGTGCGCGATTCATCGACCTTTTGACAAGGCCAAAGTACGGTGGAGTCCGTCGACACGAGCCCTGCAGCGTCAGAAATTGTCTTTTTAGAGTGCAGCAACGATATCACTTGTTCAGCGCATGTACACTACTTACATTGCACTGCCACACGTGTTGGCGGTACGAGTCCACTTCGTCGTGAAAAGTGTGGAATACCGTAATCTTCGTCCGCGCTGCTTCGTTGATCCGGTTCATGTGTCCCTGAAAGAGCGGGCCGTGGTCATCATGATCCCGCACGGGAGTCGCCACGAAGACGTACGCGTGGATCATTTCATGCTAAATCGTAGCACACTGGACCACGTGACTACTAGAATTTGTCATGTAAAAACGACAAAGAGCTGCCAACCCACCAGCAAAGTGTTGACCAGGTCACTTCGAGGTCGTAACTTTAACAGCGGTTCGCTACGAGAAAACAGCACAAACACAGCAACAAATAGGAGAAACAACGAGCTAGATAAATACGGCATTGACGCACTGTACATGTGACTGCCACAGGTTTTCGCACCTCAATCGAATGGAGCAAAAGCCACTGCGAGGCTGAAAGGTACACAGTCCCGCACTATTGAATTAATCATAGGGTTGTTGTATAAAGCAGGTTGATCGTGGGATCATTCAACCAAAGGAAACAAACAAACAAAGCGACCATCGACACACACACAGAGATGGGACGCACCAGAGCGTCATGCGCTTACTCCACTTCACTTCACAGCCTGACAGTCGACCCTCGAAGAAAAGGCGATTGTACTCCTATTGTTTAAAACATGAGTGACACATTAGTGCTTGTTTTATAGATGTATACCGTGCAAGGGTTTGCAAAAGCCACACGGAACCAGGAAGAGCGAATGCAGGTCCGGGGTCGGATCTAGCGTGCATTGATACAAAAATGAGCTTTATCGACATGTCGCCTTGAGACAAAACGAGCATTTTGGACGGCAACAAGATCGATAGTCGACACATTACGGACCCAGGTACTCGTTCTCGGACGCTAGTAACTCGCATTTATGTGTATACATGTGCGGACGATGCATCGCTGCGTTTTATTGACAGGATGATAGAGTGAATTTATTCGTTTCGATAGGACGACATGCGTGCATAAAAACAGCTCGGTTTTCAAACGCCCTATCCTCCACCTCTTTTTTAGACAAATAGAATTGACATTGCGATCACGTCGCAAACTGCTTTTGACACAGACCTGCACGGTTCAGCGCGTCCTATTTATAAAGCCACGTGCGTAATGCTTTCATTTGATAACATGTAAATGCGACAATTATAAAAGCTCAGCACTCTGCTTTTGACCTGAAAATAGTGCGAGCGACCATAAACTGGGCATGGATATTGTGTTCGGGTGATGAACTCGCTGGATAAAGCAAAAAAGGCCACGGATAACATAATTAACGTAATTGATTTTACGAAATTTGTATCGAAATTCACGTTACGCGGACGCCGACAAGAAAAACATCGCCACATGACGCTCTGTGATAGCTAACTTGCTTCGATGCGGGTCTAATAGGCAAAAATAAACGAAAATATAAATAGCATGTATCTTCGAATTCGGTAAATTGCAATGCATGTCTGTGTGTCGAAATCTCGCTCTCATGCTACTCGCATCTACTCCTGTTGTACTTTACGCAGGTGCAGCGCGTTCTTGTCGACAAATACGGGCAAATAAAGATAATTTGCTGCTTACCATGGTGCCGCGTGTTGACGCGTGTGTACAGCCTGTGCAATTTCTTTCGATTACTTATTCTGGTCTATTCCTCAATATCGTGATCATTTCGAAGCTCTTGTCCGCGTTTACGCGTCTTTTCCTTCTTATTATTCGTCGCCGATGCATGTACATACTCTTTGTGACACCGTGCAATTTTTTTCAATCTGTAAAGTCATCCAAGCGTTTTACACGTCATTCTATTCGGAATACGTTATGTAGACTAGGCGGACGGACGTTGAAGAGGCTGTGTTCCGAAAGTCGAAAAGCCAAAGACGTTGGCTTGATGGGAATATCCATACTTGTGGGTCGATCTTTAATGACGCGAACATTGATTATATAGTAAGGGGTAAGTCATGATGACGGATGAGCTTCGATTGTCCCTTTCTTCATGTTGTCATATAAGAATGCGTAACGGCTAAATGCAGATCACTAGCTGACTGTGACGAGGCACCGATGCTTGCACTGACACAGCAAAAGCTACCTTTACTGACCACAATGTAGGCAGATGCATCGACAAACTACGTGCACGGAGCGTGTAGATGATGCAAGTCAACTGAACGAAACCGTCTAGCAGATGGAAAAATTGATCTGAATGTTATTGATGGACAAAGTTATTAAATATACCTCTTTTGCCTTACTTCACTTATAATAGATTACTACCATCGTCATATATATACATGCTCGACGCCCATTGCGCGCTTCGAGCGGCAATAAGTGGCTACTATTATGGCAGACCTCAAAATTTTGTAAATTCATGCAAATTATTCACATTTAGCAATTTGTGAACGCCTCCGCCAGTAATTTGTGGATCGGCCCATACAACGCCTCTGTCTGCAGAACCTTCATTGTTACGGCTGGATGTACTGTGCCAGCTTATCAGGCCCAGACCTGCTTCAGAATGGCGCGCTGCTTCGCCTAAAAGATTTCTTCCAGCGACAGGTGCATGATGGCGGTATGTAACTCGTCCAGCTCCCACTCCAGGATCGAGAAATCACTTTCGACCGACGTCGTGTTCGGGAAGATGGTCGCAAGGCCACCAAAGATTGCGCGAAGTCGCTTGAATTAGGGGCACAGTCCCAGGCGTCATTGAACAGCGTTTTGGCGTTGGGATTGTCGATCGAGCTCCGCATGGCGTCGTCGTCGCAACAAATCTTGATCAGTTCTCGATGATTCGTCTCAATCTTCTCAACTTGCTCAGGCGTCCAGAACTTTTCGAGGCATTCGCAGTACGCGTTAGCACGTCCTGAATGAACTTGGAGTGACGCAGTCTTACCAGCTGCTGAGGTATGACAGGCGGGGCGTCGTGGTCTAGCGGCAGGTTGATCTGGTCACGCTCGGCTATAAAGCCCTTGAGGTCATCGACAAGCGTGATGGCGTACATCGCAAAATTGTTGATAACCAAATTCCGGTCGTTATCCTCACGACGTTCACAGTACTTGCCAGCAGCCGACCCTTGGTCGCGGATGTGACTTTCGATCCCGCGACGTCGATTCACATCGACCCGACCGGTACGTACTCGGCCTCGTCAACGATGTCTCTCTCGTCCGGATCGACGGTCTCGATGCAGAACATGGTGGTGATCGTGCCGATCAACGCTTGATGAATTGCTGCTGCTGCGCGACCATCAGCGACCGGCTATGCAGCTTGTCAAAAGTGATGTTTATCTCCTCGATAGCGGGGGTCACCGCATACGTGATGCCCCACCACTCGGCCAAAGGCAGGTTCTCCGCGTTCTTCTCCTTGATGTGCGTGATTACCGACCAGTGATACTACTTGTAGAAGTTGAGGACGCGATATCAAAGCACCCAGCAGTTTGTCTTCTGTGGACACTTGACGCCCATCTTGACGATCAAGTTGTTCTGTGACCGCAGATGGACGGGCAATGAGTATGCCTCCTTGATATAGGCGCCACCGTTAATTATTTCAGCCGCCGACCTGACGGTGATGTCTATTTAATGCGTCGCGCACCATACACGCAGCACATTATACTCGACGCAACGCGCGATGCGAGTGACGAGACCAGCGTGGCACCCAGTCATCGTGTTCTCTCCGTCCGACGACGCGTTGAACAGCTTGACGCATCAGTCTGGGTATAGCGCGTCAAAAAACTCGACGACCATGTTGTAAATGATCTCCGCCATGTGACAGTCAAACATCGGGAGGCCGACCAGGTGGATGATGCAGAGCAGACCCTTGTAGCAGATCCGCACGCGAAAATCGAATAACGACTGATCGCGGTGAGTGCTTGCGTCGAACGCGAGCGAGAAGACCTGCACGGACACGTCGCCAATCATGTCCGATATATCCTACAGAGAGGGTCCAACCAGGACGCGGATTCACTGGCCAACGATCATGTTGTTCATGCCGGTCGTTTTGATTGTCTTGATTTGTACCCTGGCGTGATGGATGGCGGCCGCTGTTTGACTGAACGATATGCCGATCGATACGTGGTCCATCCCAAGCTCGAACCGCATGATGTTCTTGATGATGACCTGGTACCAATCAGTATCGTTCTCATTCTTGACGAACAGCTTCAAGGCGTTTGTCTTCTCGTTGGAATGCTTGGCGGCCTTTTTGGTGATCGCGATGGCCACGTCGTCGTCACTATCTTTGTCCTTGTCGGCGTTGGCAAGGACCTCTTCTTCGCTAAAGACCAGATAGGAAATGATTGTGTCGACGACGCGGGCGCTGTAATCATAGGTCAGCGTGTCGTTCTTCAGCGTCATGTGGTGATGTAGCGTATCGGCCGGCTTGATGTTTCTCGTAAAGTATTGTTTCTCGTCGGCGGTGAACATCTCCTAGTAGAGCACCCATGACTCAGGATGCTGTGATGCCAGATAGCCCCGGTATTTGTGAGGGAAGAACGGCGCGGTAAACATCTTGATGTTGCCTGTCCGTTTGTGCTTGCGGCCGTTCTGGGCGATCGCGATCACGTCGCGGTCCTCGTGCACGCAGAACAGAAACCATTAGGTTGCGCTGCCGTCAGCATCCTCAGTCGTGACCTCAACTCCAAGCTGCAAGGCTTGGCCAGGCTGAAACGGCGTGGACGTTCCCATCGTTCACTATTTGGCGGATGTGGACCGTCTAACAAGAGCCGCAGGTCGTCGAGGAGAGCTTGTCGCGCAGAGGAACTTTTTCGGCCGGATTCCTTTTTTTGTAGATTGTCCGAGACTTAAATAGTGGACATCGATCGCTATTTTAGCGAGTCTACAAAAACATGAGGCCTGGATAATGGCATATATCAACCAATGGGAAGGAGTGCCGAATAATGCCTTCGACGGCAACAACATTTACTCAGCAAAAATAATATTAGAAAATACGAATAATGTAGATAATACTCGCACTGACCCCTTTTAGGTGTCAATGACAAATAGCGGGTTCAATACGTCACAGAGGTCGTCATGTCGTCGACGACAAGATAGCGATTTGTCTTTCTCCGACTTAAAACCAATTGCGGAACTGCAGGCATATCACATATTGTTTAGAAGTATTCGGGGTCATAAGACGCTTACGTTACCACTTCTAGAAACTTAACGTGCTTATTTTTCGCCTTTTGATAAAGAAACCGACCTCGCCTGTTTGACCTACGCAGAAGAAGGAACACAATTTGATTCGTAACTTGATGCTCACCTCATCGCCCGTGTCTTCAGTCCCAACAAGTGTCATGTACCTTGCTGAGGCCTCCTTCAATCGTAAGAGCTACAAAGCGTACATCAAGGCGTGTACTTTTGGGCACTAGTTGCATCTTGAGTGTTAGAATGTTAGTCAATTAAACTAGGATGAGGATCTCCACGAGCTTGTAGACTACTAGAGTCGTACGACCTGTTCTTAGCGACTTTAACGCCCTGAGCTTGTACTTGTTTAATCCTTTACAACGATGACTGCGAGTCCATGAATCTTCCTCTGGCTAAGAAGCTAAGATAGCTTTACTACATCTATTGAAGCCGTGTCTCTCGTAGCAGCATTTGTTTGCTACAATGTGTAACTGAACTCGGTCAATCGTGTCAACTATTGGCACAGGGCAGTTGTGGCTTAGAAGACGTCGATACGACTGTAAGTACTGACCATATATATCACATAAACGCGCCACTGATGCGACTGGATGTCAAATAGGAGGAGGCTTTACTTTGGTTGACAAGATATACGACTCATGCACCTCACTTGTACGTACGTCCTGACCACTTCGATAGCGAACGTATTCGTTGCTCGCACCTGTAAATGTACGTAGCGTGCGACACTAGAAACCCGAATAGAAATAACATGGATAACATCGGCGTGGCTGGCTCAGCGTCCATTACATACTGGCCAGAACTCAGCTGGCGCTACACAACGCTGTTGAATGTCCGAGACTTCAATTAATTTGCCCACTTGCGCGAAAGGGCGGCCTTTACAAACGCCACGCACCAGGAATTGTTTCCTCGAGCGTGTACAGTACACCGTGAAGCAAACATGTTGTTTGTCATCCCCAGCCGGTCGTATCCTATTCGCGCCCAATACCAGCATGCGACTCACGACCGACACTTCGACTCTAAAAGATCCACAAAAAGCGTTTCCGCGGAAGCTGCTCCTTTAAAGCGAGTTTTCGTTCCTCTAGAGCCGCGATCTCTTCGTCCACTGCATCAACGTCACGTCCTGCAAACTTGGACTCTTCCAACGCTGCCTGTTGGCTTCGGATCTCTTCGATCTCTAGACGAAGCTCGTTGACAGAGTCAGTCGGCTGTTTGTTGTTCTTTTTCTGGGCTGCAGCAGCGCTGCCCCACGTCACTCGAGGTGCTGGCGGCCACGCCTCCTGTGCCATGGGCACCGACTGCTTCGTCTTGATACCCACATCGTCTCCTTCCTCGGCAAAAGTCACTGCAACCACACGGTCGGACAGCGGTCGCGTCGACTGTTCGAGCGCCAGCGCTTCAATGGTCTCCTGCGTAGCTGAGCCAGCGACTTTGAAACGCACTGTCTGACCCGAGTGTAGCTGCGCCACCACAGTCACCGCTACAATACCAGTTGACATGGTAAATAACTTACACGCCACTACACACACAAACATACATACCAGCGTACGTCTACTCTACAATATCAATTGCAATACACGTCAGTAGTTCTCACGTACTCTCGTGGATCAGGTCGTCGATGGACCCTATGGGTCCAATGTCCTCACGACTCGCTAGTTCCAATAGCGACTCATTCAGCGGTACGTGGCCATCGATAGCTTTGATCAGGTGTGGATATCGGTCGTTGAAGTGGCTGTAGAACTCGTCGTCCGTCTGTAGGTTGTAGACAAACACAGCGCCAATAGCTCCTGGGACGCCCAACATAAGACCGGTCGTGTACCAGAAATACCGAGCAAAAGGAGGGCCCGTCAATGGAGCATTGGCAGAAGGTACGTTCGGCTTTGCAGACGAGAAGAGACGAGACGACGGGCGCTGTAGCACGCGCGTGAGAGCGTTAGAGCGCAGGAACGATCGCCTTATCATCGCCTTTGAGTGATTTGTGCAATTGAGGTGAGGAAAAGTAACACGGACGAGTGGATAGAGCCGCTGAAGTGGTTGTGCAAAGTAACACGGACGAAGTGGGTACAATGGAGGAGGTCGTTGTTGGCGTGCTTTTTGCCAATCACCGTCATGGACCGACTTTTAAAGAAAAACAGGAATGAGGGCGTCCGATTTGTCGGTCATCCTGAGCTTATGAACTGTTGCGAGGGGACATGTGACCAAATTTAATTCTGATGCTGCACAGATCATTACGACACCCAAAGAGGCGTTCAAGGCCATGTGATGAGGCTAGCATAGCAAACTCCATGCTATAGGTAGGGTAAGACATAAGTATGACAAACGTACGTGGTCATACGGATAGAAGTCTAGCGAGGAGGTGCGAGACAAGGTGCACACTGACTGACAGCAAAATTGGGGTAGTAGCACCAAGGACATTATCTAGACAAGAAAGGCGGACCAAAACGAGAATGATGAGGTTCCGAAGTGACACAGTAGCGATATTATGGATGGGATTGGAGCTGGTGCATCTTATCGAGCTTTGAATCGGACAATGCATGTCATCCCAAGATCATACGCCATACAACTTTTATGTCGTTGATGCTCTTCGTGATGTACCTATTACAACTTCACCGTGCGCATGATTTCGGCTGCCAATTCCTAAACGAGAAGCATGCAACAAGAATATGTCATCGCACCCAGAACATCAGCCGATACACTGTGTGAAATTCAATTGCTTCGACACTTCTTCTCCACTGGACCCACTAAAATGAGCTACTAGACCGAATTAACTTCGTTGCTTCATGCCGCTAATGAAGGTCAGTTTGCACATAAACCCTTGTTGTTCGAGGTTGTGGCAACTATTGGAGCTATAACGTCTACAAGGCAAGCAAGGTGAGTCCGTTTGTGCGCGTTAAACATTGCAGATCATGTAAGTCATAAAACTCGCAGAAATGGGCATATTCCTATCGACATCGGGGATGAAGACGCACGATATCTGACGCGCAATGTGCCCTTTACCACAATCAGCACCAGCCTGATCTTTGTTTTTTTGACACGTATATCACGTGGTGATATTCTCCATGTTCGGCAACGCGCATGCACGTCAAGTTCATGTTGTTCACGTCCATCGGAAGCCAGTGCTTTGACGTGATGCTTGGACTCACCTATTCTCTGGTTCGATATCTTGTCAAACCGGTAAGAATTTTAGCATTAGACTTTTCGACATCCAGACGTTCTTTATCTCGCGTTGGCTGCACTGCCTTGATCCGCAAGCTTCCTGCACTTTTGTCGCTCCCGAGAGTCAAAACGATTTGTATGTACCTTCCTGGCTTATTCCTCGTAGGTCATGCTCGCATAGAATCGTATAATTGAAAGGCTCAATCACGTTGCTGCAGGTGGACAAAGTGTATGCTGGAATCAAGCGACGACGGTAGAATACTAGCAACACTGTCGTTCGTACAGTCAACTTGCTAAGCAATAATGTCCTCTTGTTGACTCCGCTACTGCTGCTTGTTGTCGCTTCTGCTTCAGCTGATACTTTGGTCTTGACTATTTCCTCAAAATCCTTGCCAACAGAGCGCATTCCGATCTTATGTTTGGCTATTGCGACACGATGCACTACCTCAAACACAGTCGGATCGAACTCAGCTCATGACATTCATTTACTTGCGAATGCGTACTCGATGTCATATTCATAATGATTCACCCAACATGCGCCTCCGACATCGCGGACATGGTAGCGTCGGTCTCATGGACGACACCATTGATCAGTCCCTCTCCAGCCAGCCTCAGTGCGGTTGGGTGGCACTGACCTTACAATTTATCTGGCCATTTCACTACGCCTCACCCTTCTTCTTTTCCACTGGCAAGTCGTAATGCCGCCTTGCTTGCGGAACAAGCTTCGTCTTCGAGACGGCATTCTACGACGCCCTCTTGCCGGCAACCTTAACGATCCATAAGTCAGTACAGCCCGTGACGCAATTTATCCGACAGAAATACGTTCTCAATTATGCACTTATCTAGTCCATAAGCACATTCTTGACCCATGCGGTACGCGTCGACAATCGTGAGGGAGATCACGTGTTTTTCATTGATGTGAGCGTCACCTTGTACTTATTCGAGCGACCTTCGCTTGGCTTGATGGTCTGTCGTACTTTTTTTCCTGTAGGTCCAGGCGGTGCATTTAGTTCTTCTAACGACCTGGTACTGTCCTCTTCTGGGCGGGCTACACATCCCTTCCCGGCCGTAAGAATCGTCCCACGGGACGGGCGTTTCTTACCGTCTGCACTGGTATCCTGCCAGACCGGATAGCCCAACTATAAGTTGTTGAGATTTTTTGCTTCTTCGAGAGGCCTTACTAGCTGGTACTGATGTTTCAAGGGTGGTACCAGTTCATCTAGTGTTCCACACACATTTTAAAGACCTTGTGTTGGTCAACAAGGAGATCCAACCCGCGCCACTTCCTTTGCACGAGCGGTGCTTATCCAAGACACCAGGAGAATACCCCACTGATTGTATGTCGTAAGTATATAGCTCTGCGCAAAATCATATGAGGTCATTACGGTCGCCCCGCACGTCTTAACCGTGACACAGTGCACATCTATCGAGATTTTTAGGGGTAAAATGCCATCTTTAAGCACCCATGTGGCCGTTACGGCCACGCTCTTGCACTTGTTACAGTACACGACAAAATGAACGTTTCTATTGAACTTTTGGTGGCCTCGGTCAGCAAATTGATATTCTCTGTTGATGAGCGGAGCGACATGATAACATCTACTTTTTGATAGAGTCATGCCGTAATATGCAATGGACTCGGTTGTCTGAAAGTCAAGCGATCTTTTGTGGACGAAAAGTAGAAGGGCTGTTTGCAATAAAGAGTCTTTGCCGTTACCTCTTCTTAATTTTCGTGCGTCCCACACCGGTCATCATCGTCTGATTGCTGGATGCCACGACATATCTGGATTTAAGGGGAGCAGTTCAAGAAGGATTGGTATGTCTTATCGACGCTGGTATAATAATATCCACAACGTCCTGCCACGTCCGTCCTCATCGAATTAAAGTACAAGAAAGCACTTTGTGCTAATGGAACAGTACGTGAAAAAAGCACGTTCGGTCAACTTACATCGGTATTGCTGCTGTGATTGTGGCGACTTGGCACTTCCAATCGCATCAAATAAGCCGCTATCGGCAGTGGAGTTATTCATGTATCGAGTCAATATACGTATAGATAGCAAAAAGCTACTTCTTTGCAACGTTATCGACGTTTCTTGGCGGATGAAGGTCGGTTGCAACGGACACCTTTCGCTTTGTTAGCTTTCTTAGGTATTGCTCGCAAAGTCCGGTGTCACAATAAGAGCCTCTCCTACCCTTTTCTATGGCGAAGAGAAAAAGTCGATCTCGTTCCGTCGCGCTCTCGAAACGTCAAGTGCTGGCTCGACCATGATCATGCAAATTGCGTGAAGTCGACATAGAACACGTTCTATCAATCACACATATACGAGCCAAAAAGAAGATGGAGCTAGCGCAAATTGACCGACAAAGCATCACGACGTTGTGGTGCCTCTTTACCAGTCGAACTTGTGATCAGGGCGTATCGACACCTCAACTATCAGCACAACGGAACAAGACGGCAACTGGAGATGATGAGTGTTCAACAACGTTAGGATCGGTGAAATACCATGTCGACCATTTTTCGTTTGCTCTCCTTTGTAGAAGCGTGTGCAAAGTGTAGCGATCGTCGGCCGGACGACCATACTATAGGCAAATATGTACATTCACCCCTCTCTATAAGCAACTCTATATAAGAGACACCCTCTGTAGCGGGGCTACACAGCTCCTTAAGTCAGAGGAAGACTTTAACGCTCAACGAGCAACTTAAGGTTCAATGAACCCGACTCAGAGAGTCAAACAGCTCAGAGAGCTTAAGGTTTGGTTTAGAGAACCCGACTCAAAGAGTCAACAAGCTCATAGAGCTTACGGTCCCTATTCTAGGGGACCAATCGATTCAGAGAATCACAGCACAGAGTGCTCAAGAGCAGCTACCTTAACAGGCGTCGCTTCCTCCTCAAACGATCACAAGACGCCTCAAAGAGGCACGTGTCTTATGTTGATCAAAATGGGAACTGAACTTTATTTCTTCTTTTAACCTAAAAGAACACCTTAGAACAACGTAATCAGCCTACTCGCTAATGCCCAGAATAAAACCTCTCAAATGATCTCGTAATCAATGGTTGACAGACATCAGTCTTCAACAACTAATACTGTTTTCTAATATCAAATTAAAGGGAGCCCCATCCCTTGTGTGCATCACACCTCTTGTCGACTACCAGCCGACGTGTAACCCCGTTACACTCTCCCTCACTAGACTGACGTTACCACAAAACGTCAATCGACATCTTTCTTCGAAGAGGACGGTGTGTGTGCGCTTTAACCTCGTATTTTAGCAAAACACAAAACACTATGGCATCGCCACCCCATGAGTCCCCGACTCTCTTTTTTTCTACCTCGGCATTGATGCGGAGGAGGACTATGGTAGTGATACCGATGTTCTTGGTGAAGAGAGAACAGTGCCCGACTCACCAGTGCAAGAGGCCCCGCCTCATACTGCACCGAACCCATTTGCCGAGCGTGGCGAAGACAACGCGCCACCGGCGCCGCATCAAACACCCATCGTGGGCGATGCAATCATCACCAATCCGCTCGATGAGCAACAACAGTTGGCTATCCAAAGAGAGGAGAGCGCTCAGCGCCGTATGAAGCTTGCTGCAACCCTTGAGGTTCGCCGTGGATATCTGTTCACTTCACTCGGTGTGGAAGAACGTATACATTAAACGACAGGTCGCTCTTTGGCAACGTGGGCCATTGAAGCTGATCCAACATCTCCTGATGAGGTGGCGAGTCGACAGGTACTCCGCGAGAGGGTAGGTAAAACCTTGCTTGACGACTCATAGTCAATACAAGGTGCGACTTGACACGCAAGCACG